TCACTTGATATTTTGAGATTGTTTGTTACAGCAATTAGAATATACTAAAAGCACTTTTTTATAAGCATAGAGAGGTTAAGCAATCTGTTTAAGGTCACACAGCAAGTAAGAGGTAGCAGATTTGAATTCAAGTGGTTTGTCTTTAGAAACCATATTATTAGCTGCTGTTCCATTATTTTCCCTCTTTGTAAGTTCATTTTTATTATACATAACAAACTTCTCCTATACCTGATTTACTATATTTGAGGGAGGTGGTTGGAAGGAGGTTCACAGTTTGGGATAAAAAGAAAATAATCTCTTCAAATAAATTATTTATTAACCACGTAAGAGGGACGCTATGCTGCTTACACAACTTTGCAGGATACCTCTGTTACTCTGTGAAAGTTTACACTCAGAGGTTCTCTAGTAGTTACAAATGCTCTGTAACAACTTATGACCAAAACTCAGTGGCTTAAAACATATTCGCTCCCTGCTCCTGTGGGTTAGGAATTCAGGAGAGGTTCCGACTCATAAGGGTTTCTTACGAGGTTGCACTGAAGTTGAAGCTGCATCATCTGAAGGCTTGATCAGGGCTGGAGGATTCACTTCTGAAGTGCCTCACTCACATGTCTAGCAAGTTGGTCTGGTTGCTGGCAGGAAGCCTCACTTCCTCCCCACAGGGCTGTGGGACCGCCCTCACGACATGGTAGCTTGCTTCCCGCAGAATGAGCACGTCCAGAAACCAAGGCAAATGTTGCAAGGTCTTTATGACTAACCTCCAAAGTCACACCCTATTACTTTTGCAAAATCCTACTGATCACACTGGGATCACTATTCCTATTGATCAATTCCTATTGATCACACTGGGATTGATATTGAGATTTCTTATTCACGTTGGAGGGGACTACACAAGGGAGTAACTAACAGGAGACAAGGGTCACTGGGATCCCTTTTGGAGACCAGCTTCCACAAGAGCCCAACACATACGCACTGGGTGTCTACTGAGGACCTGGGAATCAAGCAGTGAACAAAATAGACAGAGTGTCTGCTTTCATGAAGCATCCATTCTAGTGGAGGTCAGAAAGGCAATAGATTGAATCAGTAAGTAAATTACATAGTATGCTAGAAAGTGGTAAGTGCTATGGAGAGAGAGAAAGCAGGGTCAAGGGGAGGGGGAATGCTGGAGGTTGGGACTGCTTGCAATGTTAAATAGAGAGATCTAGGTGGGACTTTTTGAAGGCTTGAAAAAGGTGAGGAAGCATGCTGTGTAGTTATATGGAGGGAGAGTGTTTCAGGCACTGGGAACAGCAACTGCGAAGGCCTCGAGGTGGGAGTGGGTGCCATGTGTGAGGAACAGCAAGGCAGCCAAGGTAGTAACAGAGGGGAGAGCAGAGATCAAGTGGGACCTTCTAGGCTCTTGTAAGGGCTCTAACTTTCATTCAGCGAAATGGAAAGCCACTGGAGGGTTCTCAGCAGACAACTGATTTGATTTGACTTAACATTTAAACAAATCTCACTCTAGTGGCTGGTATCAGAAGAGACAGGCCAAAGGTGGGAGCAGGGGAGCAAATGAGGAGGTTCTTAGAAAAATCCAGACAATCAGAGACAACAAGATGGCGGTGTAGGTCCCCGCGGTCCCCGCCGCCTCCCACAACCACATCAAAATTACAACTAAAATATAAAAAACCGTCACTCAGAACCTCCTGAAATCTAGCTGAACAGAAGCCCTACAACCAGGGAACTGAAGAAGCATCAAGACTGACAGGAGGGGCAGAGACACAGGCGAATCGGGGCTGAATCCCAGAGACGGGCCGCAGGCCCACAGCTGGTGCTGCGATTTAAAATCAGGAGGGACATCTCAGCGGTGGCGGTTTCCCAAAGGAGCGAGGGGTCCCAGCCCCACAGCAGGCCCCCCAGCCCAGGGTTATAGTCCCAGAAGAGAAGTCCCCACAACCAGCGGGGGCTGTGGCTGAGGAACTCGGAGGCTGTGGGAGTCCCAGTCAGCTCCCCTTAAAGGGCCCGTGCACGGACTCACTCGGACACGCTCCCTCTGAGCCTCAGAGAAGGGCAGCAGTTTGAAAGGAACCTGGGACATTTGGGGAGGAACTAACCTGCCTGGAATCAGGGAGAGAGCTGGAGGGGCGGCTTTCTCCCAGGCAGAGGCCATTGCTCCTTTTGCCAGCCTGCTCCCCACACGGCGGACAGGCGCCATATTTGAATTGCCAGCACCGACTCACACCTTTGGCCCCGCCCCATGATTCCCGGATGTCCTGCCCCTCCCCACCTGCAGGCTCATCCAGGCCATTTCCAGTGGCTTTTCTATGCAAGTGGCCTCTTGAGCCTCATGCTTAGGACTTTCCTAAAATCTCTCAAACAAGCAGCAGCTGCCTCAGCGTGCCCCATACCTCTTGATAAGTGGCTCGAGGCCTGGCACTAGTGGCAGCCTGCATTGGTTCACTACTTGGCCTCTCTTGGACACCTCCAAGCCCAGGACAAGTAGCAGCCAACTACTATTTGCTGTGTAGTTCATGTTGGGTGGCCCTGGGCAAGGCACTGGCAGAGGCTGACTTTGCACCTCCCAGGAGGCCCCAGAGACAGTGCACCTGGTGGTCAGCTTCGACCATGCTGGATTACAACTCTACCACATCTACGAGTGACACACTCAAGGGTCCACTTAGTGAACACCAAAGCTCCACTGAAGTAAATCTTGTTCCATAAGGGTGTCTCCAGAATACCAACTCTTTGGCTGTAGCTGCAGCTGCTCTTCACAGTCGACTGGCCTGGGGGTCATCTCCTCCCAGTGATGCCAACAGTAACCAAGGCTCAACTACAACAGGACAGTGCACACAGCCCACACAGGGGAGCACCTAGAAGGCCCAGCTCAGGTGACGGGGGAGGCTGAGCCACTGGGCCCTACAGGACACCGACTACACAAAGCCACTGTACAAATTCCAGGAAACACAGCAGCTCTACCTCATACATAGAAACAAATATCAGGAAGTAGCCAAAATGCAGAGGCAAAGAAACATGTCACAAAGGAAAAAATAGAGAAAATCTCCAGAAAAAGAACTAAATGGAGTGGAGCCAAGAAAGCTACTAGATATAGAGCTCAAAACAATTGTTATGAGGATGCTCAAGGATCTTAGTAGGACTATTAAGGAAACTAGTGAGATCATCAATGACATAATAAAGTACAAATCAGAAATGAAGGCTACAGAAACTGAAATGAAGAATAATTTACAGGGAATCAACAGTAGAGTAGAGGACGCTGAGAATCAAATCAGCAATTTGGAACATGAGGAAACAAAAACCACCCAACCAGAAGAGCAAAAAGAACAAAGAATCCAGAAATATGAAAATAGTGTAAGGAGTCTCTGGGAAAAGTTTAAGTGGCCCACCATTCCCATTATGGGGGATACAGAAGGAGGAGAAAGAGAGCAAGAAATTGAAAAACTATTTGAAAAAATAATGACAGAAAACTTCCCCTACCTGGTGGCAGAAATAGACTTACAAGTCCAGGAAGCACAGAGGGTCCCAAACAAGAGGAACCCAAAGAGGCCCACAGCAAGACACATCATAATTAAAATGCCAAAGGTTAAAGACAAAGAGAGGATCTTAAAAGCAGCAAGAGAAAAGCAGTTAGTTACCTACAAGGGAGCACCCATTCGACTGNGGACTTCCAGCTGATTTCTCAACAGAAACTTTGCAGGTAGAAGGGAGTGGCAAGAAATATTCAAAGTGATGAAAAGCAAGAACCTACAACCAAGATCACTATACCCAGCAAAGCTATCATTTAGAATCGAAGGTCAGATAAAGAACTTCACAGACAAGAAAAGGCTAAAGGAGTTCATCACCACCAAACCAGTATTACATGAAATGTTGAAGGGTCTTCTTTAAGAAGAAGCTAATGAACAAAAGAATCTGACAAACAAAATAGACCCAGAGACATTGAAGCATGCAACAGACTGTCGTATCTCAGAGGGAAGAGGGTGGGGAGTGGGAACAGATTAACCAAACAAGTTATATGCATATCTGCATAGCCCATGGACACAGACAATAATGGGGTTAAGGCCTGGGGAGGGGGTAGGAGCGAGGTGGAAGGGGGTTACTGGGGGGAAAAAATGGGACACCTGTAATACTTTCAACAATAAAGATAATTTTTAAAAAATTCCAGACAAGAGATGATGGTGCTAAAGTTAGAGTGTTATTAGTGCAGGCAGTGATAAGTGGTCTAGATTTATTTTGCAGGTTATCTAGCACAATTAATTCATGATTCTAGGTAAAGATTTATTTAGAAGGAACACATTTTTTACTTGATCCCAGAGCTGTGAGTGTCAAACAGTGCTCCAGGGGACCCTGCAGCTTCTGAGAGGCTTCATAGGGATTTACTATGAGGAACTGGGATGGGACATACAAGTAAAGCATCATGTCCCCTACCCCAGTTTTGTAAGGGCAGCTCTGTGTTGACATACCTAATTATGTGGGGTGAGGGAGATCGTCTTAAGAAAGACTAAAATGCCCTAAAGGAAAAGACAGAAAACACACACACACACAGAAAAGACACCATTTATAAAACTGAAAGGCAAAGTACAGATTAGAAAAAATATTTGCAACACAAATGAAAATAGTTTAATGTCCCTAATATTATAAAAAAACTATTATAAATTCATAAGAGGACAACCAAGTTTTTAAAAAATGGGCAAAGGGCATCTTCAAAATGAGATTTGTCCTTATTCTTCATTGGATTATTGTGAGGGTAAAACGGCAACATGTATAAGGTACTTAGCACAGTCCCCACTGTAGAATAAATACTGTAGAATAAATGCTGTCGCCACCATGCCCACCATTATTGCCACAGCTGCCATCATGAGATGGTTATCATCACTGTCACTATCAGCAACTTCATCATCACAGTTCTCATTAGCAATGTGAACAGCAGTCAACCTTCAATGCCAGTTCCAACTCAGCCTCCCCCAAGGCCAATTCCATACTCACAGTGACCTATATTTTGCCCATATTACCTTATCATGATTTTCTATCAGGATCTCAACGACAATGTTCTGAAATTTGATATCCATAATGGCTGCTACTGTTTCTTCCTGAGGCCGCAGCAGGGTGGGTCCAAACACCACGCCGAGGTTTGCCACTGTCATCAAATTTTGCTTGTGGTTGTTAGCAACACTGGGAGAAAGGAAAAGAAAAGGCACCAATGAGAGGAATCGTGCACAAATAAACAGCTGACTTCCCTCTACCCTTCCAGACTCCTCACCTCGAAGAAGTCAGGCCTTGGGATGCCTTCCGATATCCTTGGAGTTCAAAGAGAGACTTTTTGACTCATATTTTCATCTATCTGAACCTTTGCACATCCAAATCCGCATTCTGCAAACCCAGGTAACTGCTCATTCCTCTTAGTTACAACTTCTGTACTTGGCTGCTGCCAAGTGTGATCAGTAGCATTTTCTCAAGCTCAAATATAAAAACTGTTGATGGCTTTAACACATTTGCAAACATAGGCACAAAATAGACCTAATTTTTAAAATGGGTAGATTGGGATACTTAATGAGAAGTCAGGAAATTAAGCACCTCAGGCTCCGAGTATTAAAGCCCCATCGCATGAAATGTGTGGGCTGCATTAAGTGAAACATGTGGCATAAGCAGAAATAAAAGCCCACTACTGTAGGTTCATGTATATATATGGCTGTGATTATATTGTCATTTATACCCAAAAGGCTACAGATCACACGGGGTCAGCAGTGGCTAGGTCTGAGTAATTTGCCAAACACATATGCATATTTTTGGGTAATAATATGTTTAGCTATGCAAAACATGTATCTGAACTCCACAACCAGGCCACCATTACCTAGCCATAAAACTAAACAGTCCATTTGCTGGCCCTATGTAGAAACATATACAAACTACCTACTGACGACATATAAGTTAAAAGTTAAGGCCATTCAGTATTGTTAAGAAAATACTAGGGGCTTCCCAAAATCACCTGATGGAAGAAGGAAACTATTCATTACGGGGAACTAGAGGGAAATTGGGCAGAGGTGTCAGTTTGCACAGACATACCTCCCTAGCATTTACTGCTATTTATAGTGAGTGCTTTTTAACACAATTCTGTAAATGCCTGCACTGTTTCCCTTGTATACTTCTATTTTGTGGGAGAAAAAACGGTTCTACTGACTTAAGTGTTGGTTTTGAAACTGAGCCTTTACTGAAATAGTATCTCAACCAGTTTTATCAGCAGATGTGTACTTTGCTTTAATTTTCTAGGACTGAAAGTAATTTCTCAAAACTTCCTCCTCTGAAAGGGGCATGGGGGTGGTTAGGTCTATGAACAGCCCCGTTAGGAAGACAATCTGCTTTTTGATTGCTATGCAACACCTGCAGCAAGGAGATTTGCCACTCACATCCTGGCATGTTTCTGGTCCACATAAATATTTTACAAACATTTTTTGTGTTCTTATAATTTTCCATTCTACCCAGAAGTCCACCACGTTTCTAGTCTGAAAGCCTCAATGCAGAAGGTCCAGTTCTTACCTGGCAAGGGGAAAAGACTTTGGTTCTGTGCCTCAATCAGCAAGTACGCATATTTAAAAGCTGTTATTAGCACCATTACTTTCAATATCAGCTCCTCTGTGCATAAGTGAATTCCGTGTCCTTGTATTTCCCCTCCCAGATGAGTTAAGTCAGTAGACTTACCCCTCTTGTCACAAAAGTCCCTTGTGCAAATGAACCAACAAGCTATTTATGTATGAATACACTTTGAAATTGCAGACCAATATAAAAACATATGGTTTGGATGTTGATCACTCTGCACCATGCTTCTCAGCACTACCTCTCACTTAAGCAACAGCCTCATAACTACGCTCCCTGACTAGAATCTCTAGGTTCAGCTTTATCCTGCCTGCTACCACCAGGTACTGTTTGAAACTCAGCTCCTGTTTACGCCATTTCTCTGTTGAAAGCTGCAGTGGCTTCAACCTCAATGGGTTGTTAGTTGAAAACACAATGACAAAAGTGTATGCATTGTGTAAGGTGTTTAGCAATGCTTCTATTGTTTGAGTGTTGATAATGACTATGATAAACCCTGGGGGGCTCCACACTGTTTTGAATATAAAGTCCAAACTTATGAAATAGCATACCTTTTCCCAAGTCACCTCTGCCACTTTCCAGTTCTGGGTGTCTGGGCAAGTGACTTAATATGTCCAACTCAGTATGTCCAAGCTTTGGGTTCCTCTTTTTTTTTTAATTGAATTTATTGGGGTGACATTGGTTAAGTCAAGTCTCCTTCCATCACCATTTATCCCCCTACACCCTTTTCTACCTCCTCCCACCCAGATTTCCCTCTGCTAGTCACCATACTGTTGTGTGTGTCTATGGTTGAGTTTTTTGGGGGTTTTGGCTTAATCCTTTCACCCTTTTCACGCAGCCCCAGAACCTCTCTCCTCCCCTCTGACAACTGTCAATCTGTTCTCTATCTACAAGTCTGTTTCTATTTGGTTTATTAGTTTATTTTGTTCCTTAGATTCCACATATGAGTGAAATCATATGACATTTGTCTTTCTCTGACTGGCTTATTTCACTCACAGCATAATGTTCTCCAGGTCCATCCATGCTGTCCGAAAGGGTAAGAGTCCCTTCTTTTTTATGGCCAAGTAGTATTCCATTGTATAAATGTCCCACAGCTTTTTCATCCACTCTAGTCTACTGATGGACACTTGGACTGCTTTCAGATCTTAGCTATTGTATATAACACTGCAGTGAACATAGAGGTGTATATATTCTTTTGAATTAGTGTTTCAGGTTTCTTCAAATATATTCCCAGAAGTGGGATTGCTGGGTCATAAGGCAGTTACATTCTTAATTTTTTGAGGTAACTCCATATTTCTTTCCTTAGTGGTGTTCCTACCAACAGTGCATGAGGGTTCCCTTTTCTCCACATCCTCTCCAACACTTGTTGACTTGCTGATGGAGCCATTCTGACAGGTGTGAGGTGATACCTCATTGTGGTTTTATTTGCATCTCTCTGATGATTAGTGACGTTGAACATCTTTTCATATGTCTGTTGGCCATCTGTATGTCCTCTTTGGAGAAGTGTGTATTCAGGTCCTTTGCCAATTTTTCAGTTGGGTTGTTTTTTGGTGTTGAATTGTATAAGTTCTTTATAAATTTTGGATATTAACCCCTTACCAGATGCATCATTAGCAAATATATTCTCCCATTCAGTGGGTTGTCTTTTCATTTTGTTGATGGTTTCCTTTGCTATGCAAAATATTTTTAGTTTGATACTGGTTTTGTGTCCCAGCATGTGGTCTATCTTAGAAAATGTTCCATTGTTACTTGAAAAGAATGTATATTCTGCTACTCAGGTGAAATGCTGTGAAGATATCAATTAAATCCATCTGAGCTAGTGTGTCATTTAAAGTCGCCATTTCCTTATTGATTTTCTGTCCAGAAGATCTAGCCATTGATGTCAATGGTGTGTTAAAATCCCCTATTATGACTGTATTACTGTCAATCTCTCCTTTTATGTGCATCAAGATTTGCTTTACATATCTAAGTGCTCCTATGTTGGGTGCATAATGTTTACAAGGGTTATAGCTCCCTTGTTGGATTGCTCCCTATATCATTATGTAGTGTCCTTCGTTGTCTCTTACTACAGCGTTTGTTTTAGTCTATTTTGTTAGATGTAAGTATTGCTACCCCAGCTTTTTTCTACTTTCCAATTGCATGAAATATCTTTTTCTACCTCTTTACTTTTAGTCTGTGTGTATCTTTAGTTCTGAGGTGGGTCTCTTGTAGACAGCATATATATGGGTCTTGTTTTCTAATCCACTCAGCTACCCTATGTCTTTTTATTTTAATATATCTTTATTATTGAAAGTATTACAGATGTCTTTATTCCTCCCTCCCCCCCATTGAATCCCTCCACCTCACTCCTGCCCCCTCTCCAGGCCTTCACCTCACTATTGTCTGTGTCCATGGGTTACATACACATATATGCATATAAGTTATTTGGTTAATCTTTTCCCACCCCCACTCCCCTTTCCTCTGAGATTTGGAGCATTTAAGCCATTTACATTTAAAGTGATTACTGATAGGTGCATATTTATTGCCATTTTATTCTTTTAACTATGTCCTTCTGTTTCTCCTTCTCCTCCTCCTTCTAGCGGGCTCTTTAACATTTCTTATAATACTGGTTTGGTAGTAATGAAATCCTTTAGCTTGTTCTTATCTGGGAAGATTTTTATTTCTCCATCAATTTTAAATGATAGCCTTGCTAGGTAAAGTAATCTTGGTTGTAGGTCCTTGCTTTTCATCACTTTGAATATTTCATGCCACTCCCTTCTGGCCTGAAATGTTTGTGTTGAGAAATCAGCTGACAGTCTTACAGGAGCTCCCTTGTAGGTAACTAACTGTCTCTCTCTTGTGGCTTTTAAGATCCTCTCTTTGTCTTTAACTTTTGCCGTTTTAATTTTGCATCTTGATATGGGCCTCTTCCAATTCGTCTTGTTTGAGATTCTCTGTGCTTCCTGGACATGTGTGTCTTTTTCCTTCACCAGGTTAGGGATGTTTTCAGTCATTATTTTTTCAAATAGGTTCTAGACCCCTTGCTCTCTCTCTTCTACTTCTGGCACCCCTATGATGAAGAAGTTGTTATGCTTCATGTCCCAAAGGTCCCTTAAAGTATCCTCATTTTTTAAAATTATTTTTTCTTTTTGCTGTCCTGATTTGGTGTTTTTTTTCCACCATGTCTTCCAAATTGCTGATTCAATACTCTGCTTCCTCCAACCTACTGTTTATTCCTTACAGTGTTTTCTTCATTTCAGGTATTATATTTTTCATTTCTGATTGGTTCTTTTTTATGGTTTCTATTTCCTTTCTCATGCTATTGAGCAGCCTTATAACTGTTGTTTTGAACTCTGTATCTGATGAATTGCTTGCCTCCATTTCATTTAGCTTTTTCTGGAGATTTCTCCTATTCTTTTATTTGGGCATGTTTCCCCATTTTTGGCTGCCTCTTTTTGTTTATTTCTACATATTAGATAGATCTGCTATGATTCCTAGTCCTGGTGGGGTGGCCTTATGAAGTAGGTGTCCTGTGGGACCCAGTAGCGCAGTCTCCTTGATCACCTGAGCTGGGTGCTCCAGGAATGTCCCTTGTATGGGTTATG